CCTCCACACCCCTCACCTGTGTGTGCCTGCCCCGACTTCTCTGTCCTGAAGAGACCCCTACTTATGCCCCGCACCCCTCTGCCCCTCTGGAGGCGCGCAAGTGTGTGTGTGTGTGTGCGCGCGCGCGCGCGCACACACACACACACACTCTCCTGGGGCCAACGTGGGATTCACGTGGTGCATTATGTGTTGCTTACTGACAGGTCAGCGGTTTGAATCTCCCAGTCACTCCTAGGAGAAGGTTGGGCAGTCCCTTCCCATAAAGCGTGCAGCCTCGTTACGGGTTGGGGGGTCGTGGTGAATCAGAAAGGATCCAAGGCAGTGAAGTGGTGGTTCGGTCTGCATTACACCCGCCCCCCCCCCGCCCCCGCGGTCATCTGCCAGGTGGGAACCCTGACCTCCGCTGCACGCCCCGCCCACGTGCGCGGAGGCCACGCCTCCCTTCACCCCCCTCATGCACCTCATCTTGGCGCACCCACCCCCTCCCCACAGTGCGCTGTGCCCCCGCAGCTGTCTCTCTGCAGCTCCAGCCCCACCCCCAGCATGAGGCAGCACTGACAGCCCCCTTTCCTGGGGTTCACTTCCTCCCTGCTCAACCCTGTGGGGTAAGGGGGCCCCTCACCGCGCACACGCGGTGGGCTGCATGCGACACGATTTCTGTGACAGACTAGGCAGATCCAGGTGCACCCATGGTCCCTGGAGGCCCACAGTGTACCCCTCTTCTGCTAGCGTGTGCCCCCCAAGCCATGAGTGACCTACTGTGTGTGGACTTCTGACGAGGGTGGAGGCAATTGGAACCCAGAATTCTTAAACTGACAAGGAGGTGAAACCCATCCCCCATGAAGCCTCCTCTCCAGAGCTGGAGACCCCCAGACACCCCCACCAACCAGAACAACAGAGGCAAATGTGCCGTCCCTGCCTTGGGGATGAAGCCACATCTCCAGCTTTTGAGGGCCCTGCCCAGCCCTGCCCAGGAAGGCCACCAGTTCATGTCTCCCTGGAGCACCTGGTGCCACAGAAAGGACAGAGAGGCCAGCTCTGTGCTGTGGGAGCAGGGCGCACCTGGGGTGCCCAGGACGGAGGGGAGCCCTGGGCAGCCACGAGTTTGACCTGACCAGGTCTCTGGGACCCCTTGAGTCTGGACACTCCAGATGGGCCAGCTTGCCCTCGGCCATGCTGAGGGGCCTTCTCTAGTGGGTACAGTATTTAGGCAACCAGAGTTGATGCCCCTCACCCTGAGAATGCTGACCACCAGCACGGCCCTTCGACTCTGGCTGGCCTGTGCTCTACATTCTGTCCTACATCCTCAGGCCACCAGGAAGGTGGATGTGGGGCTCCTGACCATATTAGGTAGAGTTTGTGACTCACAGCGACCCATTGAACCAATGGCCTGAGCCTTGTCCTGTGCTGTGCCATTCTCACCAGCCGTGACATGCTGAAGCCCACTGTCGCCGTTCCTGTTAGCCCACCCTACTGGGGGTCTTCCTTTTTCTCTGACCCTCTACTCTCCCCCGGTCTGATGTCTCTCTTTGAAGACCGGCCCCTCCTGACAAGTCCAGTCACCAGCCTTGCCTCTGAGGAGCCTGTGCTTGCATTTCCTCCGAGCCAGGCCTGTTCACTCATCTGACAGTCTCTGCCCATGACAGGTGCTGAACCTGTATTGTTGGGGCAGGAGGTTGGCAGGAGGACAAGCTGTCCCCTTCTCTATGTGGAGGACACCAGGCTGTGTCCAGGGCCGGAGATAGCCAGTACTGTGGTTTAGGAGGATCTGGGCCCCAAGGGTTGGGGAGCCTGCGGGGTTGGCCCTCCAGGACTGACCGTGGTCCTGCCAGGTACCCCCTACTCCTGATAGAGTGGTTGGCTCAGAGCTCAAGGCATCAGAGAGGAAACTGGTGCCAGGGGCAGGCAGGAGGGCTCGACCCAGCAGTATTCATTCCCCTCACCAAGGCCAGGCCTGATTAGTGTGTGTGACCAGCATCCCTGCCTCGTCCACCAAGTTGGGTGCTGGGCCAAGGGTCTACACAGGAGGTGGGCTTGTGCCTGTGACCCAGACTCATCTGTAGGCAGCCCCTCTTTCCTGCTGTGTGGCCTCTGTGAGCATCTGTTTCTTCTGGTAAAAGGTAGCTCGGAGGTTAAAGGGGAGGAGCTTGTCCTTGACCATCATGTCATAACACATATCCTCCCTCCCTCAGGGCACCTCCGCCTGGCCCAGCGCCCCAGCCTCGGCTCACCTAGCTGGGGTGAGGGGTGGGGTCCCATGTCCCACCTTGTATACAAGGTTGGGGCAGGGAGTGGAGGGATGGGTGGGCCTGAGGGCCACCTGCTGGGCCGAGGTCATCTGTCCAGGTCATGAGCCAGCAGGCCTGGCCTGAGCCGTGGTGTGAAGGGGGCAGTGCTCCCTTGCACGGTGGGGACCCTGAGGCCAAGCTGGACGACGATTCCTGACAATGACCCGTGTTCACTTGCCTGCCTGAGGATGGGGGTCCTTCACCATCACCCCTAGGTGAGGGCTAGATGTGCAGGTGGGTGCATGGGCTGCACCTCAAGTGACTGCTGCTTTTCAGACGTGGTACCCCAACCCAAGGCTGCTGCCTAGTCCTACGTCTGGGGCCTCTGCATGTCTATGCCAGCCTGGGTGGGGGACTCTGGTCTCCCAGCACTGCCCATAGCTCGCTGCCCCTCTGTCTGGGGTTTCTGCTTTGATGTGTCCACTCTGTCCCCAGGCTCCCTGTCGAAGATTTCAGTCTGGACTCCTCTCTGTCCCAGTAAGTGCTCCCAGGACTGCCACTGGGTCTACCATCATGGTTCATTCATCAGAGAATGCTGGCCAGCAGTGGGCAGGGTCTGCCCAGAGTGACCCCTGTGGGCAGCAGGTCCCACCCTCTTCCGCCTACACTACACCCTCATCCATCCTTTCGTTCAATTACACCTTCCAGCGTCCCATTAGAGATGCTGCCAGGAAAACGGATACTTCGTAATCTGCTCTCCGCTGTGGGGATGCAGGAGGCCCTGGGGCTGGGCAGCCACAGCTCATTAAACATTAACACCGGAGGTGATGGGGCATCGATCACCGGGCTCCGTGATCCGGCCCGCGTCCTCCCCCTGGGTCCTGCCTGGCTGCAGGGCTGCCCCTGAGGGGTGACTCACTGTCTGAGTTGGCAGCTGGGCCTGTGCGGAAGTGTCCAGGAGTCACCGTGTGGCTGTGGTCACCTTCTGGACTGGCAGGCCCTGCATCTGTGTGTGCATGGCGGGGTGTCCTCATCCCAGGGCTCTGCTGTGGGGAGCCGCTGTGGCGTGCTGGCGGGAGGGGAAGGTGGGGGCCAGCATGTCACCCCAGCACGTCATCCCCCCAGGTCTGCGGGACCATGTGGTTGGAGCTGGCGGGGGGCAGGGAGAGGCCGGGCGGGTAGTAGCTGCCATCAGCTGGGCAGGGCCCATCTCAGAGCTGGCTGGAGAGGGATGGGGGGAGGGCACGGGGTGGGGGGTGGATGGAGGGGAAAGCAGAGGGGTCTGTGTCGGATGGTGCTGATGACATACACAAGTAGGGTCGTAACTCAGGACCCACGGGGTTCGGGGTCTGACCGAGAATGGAGTCAGGGCCCGGAGTTCTACATGGGGCCAGTGCCCATCCTCTCCTGGCCCAGCCACCCCTCCTCCACCCTGAGTCTCTATCCCAGGGGCCACTGCAAGGTGTGGCTGTGCCTGGCCAGAGCAGGTCAGCTCTCGGCCGGGCTGTCACAGTGAGTCACAGGCACTGGGCTGTGTTGGATGATCTTTGGGGCCTGACGACGTCACACGGTCTGGATGGGCGTGCAGCTGTGCTGGGCAGGCGTGTCAACTGAGACAGTGATGAGGGACAGGCAAGGTGGGGCGGGAAGGTGTGAACGCCCACTGAGTCCTGTGCCCATCCCCTGATACCACTTCCTCCAGGCAGCCTTCCAGATTCCCCCTGGTAGGGTGACTTCCTCAGGAGCTCTGTGCCTCCATCGTGCCACCTAGCCCCTAGGTGGCCTTTCCAAGCCCCTGGCCATCTCTGAGGGAACCTAGCTGGGGAACCAACCTGTGCCCAAGGCCCGAGCCATGTGTGTCTGAGTCCCGGGCACTAGTTTCTTAGCTGGTAGTGCCCCCACTGCAGCAGAGCCCTTGGGGACAGCCTGCAGGACCCCTGAGACCGCTGGTTAGGGGCAGGTGCAGCCTGGGTGAGGAGAGGCCATTGGTGGGTGTCACAGTGCAAACCAGGACCACTTGGAGTCATGGAGCCTGCCAACCACCCCAGAACTTGAGCTCATCTGGGTGGGGTGCTCTCTCCATGTCCGCCTCAGGGGCATCCCTGGCGTCCACCAGCTGGAGCCCCCTCTCCTTAACGTGGGCATCCTGTACCTGCCCGCATCAGGAGGTGGGTTGCTGGGTGGCAGTGGGCTACCCCTGGGCCCTGACTACTCCTCGGCCCAGCGGCCCCTCCATGGTTGTCAGGATGGGCCCCCATCTCCGCTGAGAACCCCCACAAGTCCTGCTTAGTGACTACCTCAGGGGCCACGGGGGCCCAGAGCAGGGCTGAGGTCACCAGCATGGTCAGTGTTGGGGACTGACCAGGGGTCACCAGAGAGCAGAGGAAGGTGCATCTGGAGAGGGCAGAGCCGTGGCCTCAGGGGCCACCAGATGATGGCTAAGCAGTGAGGTGGGCTTGGGCCCGAGGTGGCCACAGCTCCACAGTGATGTGGGCATGTGCCTCTGGACACTGCAGGGTGGGGATGAGGGAGTCCAGCTTTACAGAGGAGGTTCCGGGCTAGGGCGGGACGCACAGCTAACCCAACCCTCACTTGGTTCAAATGGCCTGAAATGCACTGACCTGATGGGGGTGTGGGGGTAGGGCCTCGGGTCTCTCCAGCCCTGGCCAGCAGGCTGTGTCTGGGGCAGGCAGGCACTGACTGTGAGCTGGGTCAGAGGTGCTGGAGGGGGTAGTACACTGCACACACGCTCACTCCTCCCTTGCTTCCCAGGGTCCAGGTGGAGTTCTACGTCAATGAGAACACCTTCAAAGAACGCCTGAAGCTCTTCTTCATCAAGAACCAGAGATCCAGTGAGCAGGGCCGGGGTGGGGGGTGGGGGGCACTCAGGTGGCAGGGAAGCTGGGGACCAGGGGATACTTGGGGGCAGGGGAGCTGGGGGGCAGGGGGCACTTGGGGGCAGGGAAGCTGTCAGGTTGGGGAGGACGAGGAGGCAGGCAGGAGCTGTCAGGGGAATGGGGCCGAGTGGGCAGAGCAGAGAGGGATGTTGTATCAGAGGGGTGGGAAAGGGCAGAGATGAAGGTGCTGTCAGGTGAGGGAATTGCCGTGGTCACGGTGGCGTGGACAGGGAGAGGTCGGAGGGCTGGACTGAGCGGGGAGGAAACCATGTGTGTGGGTGTAGGGGGTGTAGAACATCCCCACCTGGGGCCCAGTGGGGTGGAAGACCAGAAGCTGGGCTGTCGCTGTCCCTGCTGGGCTCCGGACTGAGACCCCCACAGCTGTCCCCACTCTCCTTGCCCTGTCTTTCACCTCAGACCTGAGCACCCACCTTCCCAGCTCTGAGGGTCAGCTGCTGGACATGGCCCCGGGCATGCAGGATGCCCTGCCCTGCTTGCACGGAGCACGTGACCACAGGGCACCCACTGCTCCCTTGAACCCCAAAGGCTTATCTGTAGATGCCCCTCACACCAGGCCTGCACCCCCAGACCAGACCCTGGACCTCACACCACAGACCCCACACCAGGCCCCACACCACACACTGCCCCTCACCTGCTGCCGTGGGGAGCTTGAGAAGGAGTTGGTTGGAAGAGGGCCCAGTCCCCCACTTGGTGGCCATGCTCCTCTGCCCCTCCCTGAGCAGCCACCCCATACCCGTCCCTGGATGCCCCCTGAGCCCAGCTGACCGCTCCCCCCGCAGGCCTGCGGATCCGGCTCTTCAACTTCTCTCTGAAGCTGCTCACCTGCCTCCTGTACATCGTCCGCGTCCTGCTGGACAACCCCAAGCAGGGCATCGGATGGTGGGTGACAAGCAGGGCCTGGGAGGGGGTGGGAGGGAGGCGGGCTCTGACCAGCACCCCTGGGCCCCAGAGCACCCCCAGGGCCTTGGCCTGTGCTTCCTCCCCAAACATGACCCCCGCCCCATGTCCGTCCCTGGATCTCTCGGCTTGGGGACACTGTCCTCACACACTGGCTGACCAGGCAGGATTCCCTTGTGAGTGGCCTGGCAGCTGCATGTGTATTGTTTGTGGGCTGGGAACTCTCTCCCTGGGACGGGGTTCAGTGTGGGAAGATGAAGGGGCTCAGCCCCAGCCCACGCCGGAAAGCCTCCCCACAGGCCGGGCCTGAACGCACCCCCTGGAGCCTCCTGACCCTGTGGTGGTCCCTTTCTTGGATTAACCCTCCTTTTCTATGGAAGACACCCTTCCAATTCCCAGAACCCTTCTGTGGGGCCCACTGTCTGCAGACCTCCAGGGTGGGGTTCCCAGTGGACCCCACCCCATTCCACCCCAGTTCCGGAGCACTACCCAGCCATGTGCTCTGGCCACTGCCCCGGGTGACAACATGCTTGTCCTTCTGCGTCCTTGTGAGGAGTTCATCCTTTCCTGAAGCTGGAGGAGCTCCTGTCTGCCCAGTGATGTGGTCATGGCCTGTCCCTTTTCATGTCCCAGGCAGTCCTGACGGACGCCAACCTGGGGACCAGCATCCCAAAGATTCAGAATTTAGGTCCTTAACCCACCAGCTTCCTCATGTCCTGGGCGTCCCACGTGGAGCTCCTGTAGCTCAGATACTGGACTCTGGAATGATCCTTGCTTTTCTTAGCTTCACCTTGCATCTCCTGGAGCCCCATCTGGAGGACTTTCTAGGACCTCTGGTGGCAGAGTGGGTGACATGCTCGCCTGCAAACCAAAGAGTCAGTAGTTCAAACCCACTGGCCCTTCCGCAGGAGTAGGAGGAAGCCATGGCTTCCATGACTGTTCAGCCTTGGGGGCCCCAGGGAGCGGTCCTGCAGGGCCACCAGGAGTGAGAACGGCCCCACAGCAGTGGGAATGGCCCTTCAGGGTTAGGGACTGCTCAGCTATCATTTCCAGCTCTCGTCTAGGTTTTTCATCTCTGCTGTCATGGTTTCTAGCCCTTGCCCACCCCCCTCTGGCCCCCTCTCTGATTGCAGTGATTTCCCCGAGAGCCCCGCTCGTCTCCCAGCCTGCCCAGCCCTCTGCGCACTGGCAAACCACTCTGCTGACATTTGGACGTGATGCAGATGAACACAGCATCTGTGTATAACCCTCAAACGGGTGGTTGTTTCAGCGCGTCCCCCCAGTGAACAGCACAGAAGGGATCCTACCTCACATCCACATCCGTACACATCACAGTGGGAGGCGGTGGTGTGAGCTGACCTTGTGAGCAGCCCTTCCTCCACCGTCCTCAGCACCTGCTGCTCAAGGCCAGTGGAGGTCACTGTGCCAGCCCCTGTCGTGAGAAGTTCTCTCTCCTTCACCGACTTTGCCCAGGACGATGGCTTTCTCCACTGCGTGGTTCCCCTGAGAATTTGGCAGAGTGAGTGAGAGCAAGTTTTACCATCTTTGCCTCTAAGAAGTATTCTGGTTGCACTCCCTTCAGGATCGACTTGTTTGTTCTTTGTCACTCCCTGATATTTCAGTACTCTTCTCCAACACACAAAGACGTCAGCTCTTATGTCTTCCTTATTTGTTGTCCAATTGTCAGTGCCCAGGAAGTGATTGAAAATACTAGGGTTTGGATCATGCACCCCTTAGTCTTTAAACTGACATCCTTGCTCTTTAGAACCTTGGAGAGGTCCTTCACAGCATTTCTCCCCAGTGCAACACATATTTTGGTTTCTTTTTTTTTATCATTTTAACAGGTTTTTTAATTATTCATTTTAATGAAAGTTACAGAGACTTTGGATTCCCATCCATTCATTGTTGCACTTTATATTTTGAGTTCTTGACTGCTGCCACCCTGGGTGTTGATTGTGGTAGAAACTTCAGTCATTTCTCCATCTGGCATACTGTTGGCTCAATGGTGGAGATTTTTGTTTTCTTGAGGTTGTGATGTAATCTGTATTGATGGTTTGATCTTCTGCAGAAAGTGCTTCAAATCTTTGTTTTCAGTGGGCAAGGTTGTGTCATCTGCATAACGCAGGTTGTTGGTGAGTCTTCCAATCCTGATGCCACAGTGCTCAGCATAGACTGAATAGGTATAAAGGATACGTCCCTGACACTCGCCTTCCTTGAGTCTGAACCACGCGTGTACCCTTGCTGTGTTCAGACAGACATCTGCTCCTTGGCCTCTGTGTGGTTGCATGTCGACATCACCTATACGCTGGGGCCCTGCCGGTACAGTGGGCTGACGGTTGGGATGCTAAGGGTAAAGTTGCTGGTCTGAACCCACCAGCCACTCTGCAGGAGAAAGATGAGGCCGTTGGCTTGTGCCGAGGTTCAGAGGCTTGGAACATGGAGCAATTCTGCACATTCTCCATGGGTTGAAATGGACTCAGCATCCGCGGATCAAGATGGTGAACCGTTCTCTTCCTGCCCTGTCCCAGTCACTGTCCCGCTCACTGTCCCGCTCACTGTCCCATTGTATGGAAAGGGTTGAGCTTCTAGTGTTTGACCAAAAGGGTGGTGCTGTGAACAACCCTTTCCCGTCATCCCCGCTCGCCCGGCCCTGGGAGGCGTCGCTCTGTGCTGGCCATGGATTTGCTGTCCTCACTATTCCGTCCGAGCGGGATCACACTACGTGGGTCCTTTTCTGTCTGGTTTATCCTGCTTAGCGTCACGCCCCCACCCGCATCCTCACAGTGGCACGATCAGAAGGTCATCTCTTCTTATACCCAGTATCATTTTCATGTACAGACATTTCCTTTATCTGTTCACCCCGGAATGCGCACTTCAAGGTGGTTTCCACCTTTGGGCTATTATGAATGAAGCTTCAATGACACTGATGTGTAAGGGTCTGTCCCTGGTTCTTGTGTTTAGGATTTGGGGGACAACCATGGGAATAGAATTTCTGGACCATAACTCTGTTGAAGTTTCTGAACAGCTGCAAAATGTCTCCCATAGAGGACATCCCATTTTACACCCCAGCAGCCACGCCTGAGTGGGCCAGGCTTGCCACCTTCTCGCCAACGCCGTATCTCCTCTTTTGTGTTTCGTAAATTATATCCATCCTTGTGCTGTAAAGTAGAAGCTCATGATGGGTTATTTTCTCCTCTTCCTCACTGCAGTGCTAAGAGCAGCATAATGAGAGACAAAGAAGAGATTGAGATTGTTCACAATTACCGCTTACTCGGATCCACGATCACCACTCTTGGCACCAGCAGTCAGGAAACCAAAAGACTAATTGCATTAGGAAAATCTACTGTCAGGGACCTCTCCAGAGTAAAGAGCAATGATGTCAGTCTAGATACTAAGGTGTACCTGATCCAGACCATGGTCTTTTCAATTGCTTGCTGTGCATCAGCGAGCTGGACAAAGACTAAGGATGACAGAAGAATCCCTGCCTTTGAGCTGTGGTGCTGGAGAAGAGTATTGAACATACCATGGACTGTCAGGAGAGCAAACAATTCTGTCCTGGAGAGGGTGCAACCAGGTTACTCCCTGGAGGCAAGGATTTTGAAGCTCCATAACTTACTTTGGGCATTTTCTCAGGAGGGACCAGTCCTTGGAGAAGGACATCATGCTTGGAAGGGTGGAGGGACAGTGCAGGAGAGGGAGACCCTGGATAAGATGCATTGACTCAATACCTGATAACGGGGTGGTGTGTCGGAGACAGTGCGACTGGCTTAGGACAGGGCAGGGTTCAGAGCTGTGTGCATACGGTCACTATGAGTTGCAGGCAACTGGACAGCACATAACAACAAACAACAGTGACGAATGGGGAAGCTGTGGTGGCTTACTTACTAGTAAGGAATTGTGCTGCCAACTCAAAGGTACGAGGTTTGAATCCCCCAACAGCTCCATGGAAGGTAGATGGACAGTCTTCCATGTGTTGGACAGCCTCTGAAAACGCACTGGAGGTCCAGCTGTGGGTCAGTTCTGACTTAGCGCACACAGACAAGATACAAGTGGCCGGGCGGCACATGAAAGGATACTCACCCCCCCTCACTCAGTCGCTCTGTGTATGTTGCCCGTTTATAAAATTGGGGTTTTGGTTCTTTGTTGTTGAGTTTTAAAGTCCTTCTTACATTATTCACTGCAGCTTGTCTATTTCCCCTGTGTTGCTCATGATGTTGGTGTCGTATCTAAGAATCCAGTAAATGAGGCTCCTAGAACGTTCCCCTCTGCTTTCTTGTAAGGTTTTGATGGTGGAGTTCTGGTTGGTAGGCCCACCGTGGAGAGGTGGGAGGCAGGGTACATTCTTTTGCACGTGGACTCAGCTGCCCCAGCACCATCTGTTGGAAAGACTATTCTTTCCTCGCTGAATGCGCAGCAGCACCGTGGTCAAGTACCAGCTGATGACAAATGTATGGGTTTTCGGATTTTCAATTCTGTACCATCAGCCCCTGAGTCAGGGCCGGCTCCGTGACTTTATCCCTTCTCACAGTGCTTGGTTGTTACCCATGTTAATTGTCCTTCATTTCTTTCTTTCTTTTTTTTTCACAGTTTTATAACTTTTTTTTATAATCAGCTATTAGTTTTCATCCACAATGACAGTCTGTAGATTTTTTAAATCAGCTTGCTTGGGGAATCTTTATCATAATGTTTTCTGGACAACTGTACACGGATGCAGGATGGGACATTCCTTATTCCTTTGGCCCAAACGGCTTTGTTAAGCCTGGTGTCAATGTGAACATCTGGTGTTCCCATCTCCTTCATGGCAACTTTCCAGATCTCCTTGTGTGCCCAAGTGGCACACATCTTAAAGCCCACTCCTTGAATGCACTTTGACTCTCTGGTCACCACTTTGTTGATGGTAGAACGGCCTTTCTTCTGGATAAGATGCATTGACTCAATACCTGATAACGGTGGTGACCTTTCTTTGCGGGGCCATAGCACCGGGACCAGGCTGGAAAGCATATCCTTCATGAAGGGGCATGTTCCTAATTTAATTTATTCTTAGGTCTTTTCTTCCTCACTGTATTATGGTAACTTTAATCCTGTCTTCATGCTTTTCATTGTTTACAACACTCTTGATTGAGTAGATGCATTAGGGGAAGGACCAGTGTGTAAATGGATGTTGGCTGAGAGGATGGAATGGTGAGAATGAATGGGGCAATGGGTAGATGCTTGATAGGTGGATGAGAAGGTGGATGAATATATAGATAAAGGAGACCAGGATTAAAAGGATGATGAATGGACAGACAAATTAATAGGTGGAAGTGAGGATGGGTAGAGGGTCTGGATGGATGGGTGGTGGATGGATGATGGATGATGGATTGAGGGATGAATAGATGGATGTGCGGATGATTAGAGGGGATGGATGGATGGATGGATGATGCATGGATGGATGATGGATAGCTGGATGGATGATGGATAGATGGATGGATGGATGGTGGGTAGATGGATGGATGATTTAATAGATGGACGTGAGAATAGATTAATTAATACTTGGATGTGAGAATAGGTAGAGAGTCTAGGTGGGTGGGTGGGTGGAGGGAGGGATGAATGAATAGATGAATGTGAGGATGGGTCTAGATGGATGGATGGATGGATGGATGGATGGATGGATGGATGGATAAATGAGAACATGAGTAGATGGATAGGGAAAAGTCCTGGATGAATGGATAGATGGGGGAAGGATGAGAGGGTGACCAGCTGTGCCAATTCCCCATTAGGTTGTGGTGACAGTCCCAGTGTGGCTGTGACCCTCCCTTCCCAGCCCAGGTGATGGGGAGGCACGTTCTTAGGGCGGCTTAGGCAGGAGCGTCTTCAAGTCAGCTCTCGGTGCTCCCTCCTAGCTTCGCGGGCTTTGGTTGGAGGCGTCCTCTGACCTCACAGGAGGTCCTGCTTCTCTGTATCTGTCTCTGAGGGGCTCAGTTCTTCCCCTGGGCACCCTCACCTGAGCAGTGCTCCCGAGCTCCTGCCTGACCTTTAACCTCCCACCGTTGAACCTGGGGTCCTCCAGTTGGTGTGGAGAGCCCTGCACCTCCTCACTTTGGGACCCTCTTGTGGGGCCCCTGCATTGAGTTGTTCAGTGTCCCCCAGATGTGGTGACTGCCTGTCTGTTCACCTGTCCACTCTCCCCACTTAGGGCCCCCTGTGAGTTGTAGGGTTGGTCACAGACAGGTGAGTGCGCCCTGGTCACCCTCTAGAGCCCCGACGTCCCTGGGCAGGGTCCCTCCCTGAGAGGAGGGAAGAGACGACAGCTGTCCTGTCTGCGTCTCCACAGCTGGGGTTGCCCCAAGGAGAACTACACCTTCAACGGCTCGTCCTCCGAGTTTAACTGGTGAGTCCCGGGGCTGGGGGCAGGAGGGGTGCTGTCTGGTTCCTCTGCCTCTGTAGCCCTCAAGTGAGGGGCTATGCTATCAACCGTGGCAGGACGGGGCTGTGTATGGCCACCCCGCTGGGCTGTCCCCGCAGCCATGTTGATGGCTCAGGGAGCTCGTTGAAGCAGGATGGTGCCCGGCGGCTCCCGCTGGTCCACTCAGCACCCCAGACTTGCCACGGGGAGGTGGGGGGCACATGAGGTCAGGCGCTGCTTTTCTAGATCTTTCTTTCTCTTCTATTCCAGATAATTTTTCATTCTCTCTCTTCTGCATTTTAAAAATCATATAGTTCACAAAGCACTTGCCCTTTCAACTGTCTTCACTTGTACAATTCCCCAGCAACCCAACCACCAGGGCCATGTCAGTTCCAGCTCCTAGTCCCTGATGTGGGCAGCTCTGGCCCCTCCCCTGAGGTGGGCAGCATGGCCCCTCCCCCTGATGTGGGCAGCTCCGGCCCCTCCCCTGAGGTGGGCAGCTCTGGCCTCTCCTCTGAGGTGGGCAGCTCTGGCCCCTCCCCTGAGGTGGGCAGCTCCGGCCTCTCCTCTGAGGTGGGCAGCACAGCCCCTCCCCTGAGGTGGGCAGCACAGCCCCTCCCCTGAGGTGGGCAGC